AATTATCCACGTTCACACAGATATATATATTTAGCTCCATGACGTTCATAAACATGTTTTGCCTTGTTTTCTGTATAATTTATATAAAAAAAAATTGTAAGGAATGGAAGGACGTGACATGCCCGTGTGGTCCATGCTCCTCTGAGGCTCTTCACGTTTGACGGATGGACCCCTCCCCCTCCTCTCTCTCTCCAAGAAATAAAAGAAGAATACTTACTGTAGGTAGTACTATGATCTTTACTTACTGATTCAAATCCAATTATTACACACTTACTGTGCTTTAGTTCTGCTAATTAACAATAAGCTGATGCTAATCAGGTTAATTATCATTTCTCTTTGATGTTAACCGACAAAGAAGTCTCAGAAATACCATAGGTATTGATTCCGTTATGAAGATCTACAACTTGTCTTATATTTTAATACATTTTTTTCTATATTTTTTCTTGGTCTGTTTGTTCGTAAGTGCCGGTATATGTGTCGTCTGATAGCGCACCATGGGTTTCGGGTTCAGATATATTCAAGTCTGAGACAAGAACTTTCCCAGTAACTATAAATTCTGGAAGTTTACATTTGTGACTTGTAATTTTCCATATACAAAATGCTTTGCTTTTCTTTTCTGTCTTGGTCAGTTTTAATCAAATTAATAAAATTTTACGGTCTGTGGGTGAAAGGGCTGCTTTGGTCATCATAAGTTTTGATTATCTTCAACTCCTCACCTGTGGGAACTAAAATAGATTTGCCTTGGCTACTGGTATAGAGCCAGGACAGCTTGTCCATCCGTTCAGTCTGACCAGGCTCTACAATATTCTGTTGTAACTTTTTTTATTTTTTTTTTATTTTCTAAATTATTATTATTATTATTATTTCATTTCTTATTTTTAATTTTGATGTCGAAATGTCTGAATTTTTAATGTACTGTTCCAACTTCAGAGCTGCTTCAGAGCTGGGGAAATCCATTTCACATATTCAGCAGGAAAATGGTTGATATAGTCGGATCATCAAACAGTCAAACACATATATATTTTGAAGGAAAAAAAAACGGAATGCTTTGCAAAGTTTCCCCTTTTTTATCAATGACTATATTTACACCATGTCCCGTACACTGACTTTTTTGCATATGGTCGTTAAATGGAGTTGTTTTTTCTTACAGTTGATTTTACTTCAAATAAGGTTTTTGATTAGCTTCGTGTTAATGCTAAATGCTTAAAGTAAGTACATGTATAGTCTAAGTTGTGCATTGTTCACGGTTATATTTTCTTCAAGAACTAAACATGTATAAAGAAATTATTTTTTGGTTTCACAAGCCTTTGACAGAAGTATTATATAAGTACTTATAATGACATATGTATGACCAGATCACACAGCAGCATATAACTAAATTTCATTATTTTTGTTTTCTTTTAATCTGGACAAAACCATTTACCATTTTAGGGAAAATTTCAAAACGTACACTGACTGAAAATCGAACAGGGCAGACCATGGCCAGACGGCACAGAAGTGACAGTTGATTTTGATCGGCACTGGTCGCATGAAAAAAAAATCGGTTTACGTTCGTTTATGTTTTGAGAAAAAAAAACACATTTTAACGTTCATATGCCATGCATATCTATATGTCAGAGTATTTTAATGTTACTCAAATATTAACCATTGAAATTTGAGTGCAGATATGTGATATTTATTATTTCGATATTCGCAAGGATACGTTAAGTCACATGATGTAAGTGTCCTGACGATGAAAATGGCATTGGCACTCGGAACACCTCGGGCGACCACCTTACGAAATTGTCGGAGACAGCCGAGTTGTTCCGATTTCGGCGTTGGGTGCAGTACCCAAATCATTACACACCTAACTTCCGAATTTTTGTACGAAACAATTATCTTTTAGATTCAATCTGATAAACATGGGTTTTCTTTTGTTAAAATACCTGTTAAAATTAATACCATAAATTTTACAACTTGTACTAATAAGGCCACATTAGTAATAATTATTAACACCTCGGTCTTTCATCTTGCCGCTATCATCCGTACTTACAATATTGTGGGTAGGACGCTATCCTCGGGCATTTTCTCATGGATATTTTCCCTTTAATTCAATTATCGTATTTTTCTTAATAAGTATTGACTGTTAAAAGTCTAAAACTGGTACAATTATTGTACATTCAATTACCTAAATGAAGGGGATGTTTAAACGAAAAAAAACACCCGTTCACATCTAAAAAAAAATACATGACAGTTGCACAGTGACACAAATGTATTATTCGCAAATGCACACACGCATCGACAAATGTACAATTTCTCCATATTAATTAATACCATAGCAGATGAAAATAGAGTGCAATTGACAAGTTTATATAAACCCACAAAAAAACAAGCAAAAAAAACACACGCGCACGAAAAATCAGCACGCTATAATATACATATGCAAGCAAGAATTTCACGTGCTGAATATACGGAATAAAAGTCGGGTAGGACAAAACAACAAGATTATAATTGAATTTACATTCAAAACATATGTAATGACTTTTAAGTGCTCATTCCTGAAGCCATTATATGTAATATTTTAGCTGTTTATTAAAAAGAAAGAAAAAGAGAGAGAAAACAAGTTGTGTAATCAACTTTATTTGAACCTTATTACGTATTTTCACTGATAGAGTCTTGAAATATTTGACGAAAAAGTTGTTATATTAAGCTTTAAAAAGTGCAAAAGGTTCTCCTGTTTCAGAAGCCAATCTAGACAATTATTCCAGGACCAAGGTGTTTATTTCAAATTTAACATTTTACTATTATTTTCACTTTTATAAAGAAAATCTGAATCTGCAACAAGAAGAGATGGATTTTTATATTAATTATGGGACTAATGACATTGTTACTCTTTGATTTATTTAGTATCATGCATATTTTTTAGTTGGAATTGAACTTATTCTTTTTTCTATTTTTTAATATAATAAACACATGTTATTATTTCCCGTTGCTTCTACATCATTTTATATGGGTCCATTTTATCACAACAACTCACAAATAAAAGTTACAGTCATTGGATACTGGCTTGTCCGTCGTTGATAACTCTTGTTTAGTTTCGCCGGCTGACAGCAGCCAGTGTGTAAATTAATTTTGTCTGACAGATTTTCACAAGACGTTTATGCCCATTGATGAACTGTCATAAAACGAGAAAAAAGAAAGGTATTAGTCGAATGAAAAGAACAAACTTTTGAAATTATCTCCTAAAAGCGATCTAATACTAGTATTATACAGTCGTTAAATCGCTCTAAAATAAAGTGAAATCTTCTGATGTCTTTTTCTTTTCAAATAACACGCCTCATTTGGGAAACAATTTTAGAAATTGACTCCGAACGCTGAATCGCGTTAGCTCTTTTTGAAACACCCATTTTCTGTATTTGGGGATAAAATTCGCGACGGGGTGGAAAAATGACGCATTACCCTACTCTAAAGCTTTAGTAATTTGTCTTTAACCAGAATAAGTAGATATTTGTTAGCGGCTATCTTCAAAGAAACATTTAATTCGTTTACGACATCCTTATTTATTTTTATTTCGGTGAACGAAATTAAGGGATTTACTATAGATAGGTGTAAAATAGATTTCTATACAAAAAAGTTTAATCATTGGATTACAAATGAAATTGAGAATCTATCTTTTCTTTATACAATTAATCGTCGGCAATCTGTGATATAAATTATTTCAGTTAAATCATGGGTCTGCTTGCTTTTATTACAAACATAAATGTCTTGTAATTGTTGTATAGATGATAAAGATATGTTGTTATTTTACGCCTTAAATCTTTAATTTTATTGTTGCCGACAAATAGAACGTCGAAGGCCTCTGGGTCAGAGGTCATTTGTTAATTTAAGACCGTTACCTGGGTTATTAAAGTCTATGTCCGATTTCGGGGTCAAATCTTTTAATATCCCGTTAGAAATTTCAAATACTCTAATCAGAATTCAATTTAAGTTTTTTTTAAAGGCAGACGACAATATATCCTTTTAGGGGAATACACACACAATATCAAAGAATTGTTGCGGCACGGGTGTCCACTTATTATGCGGTTCAAAGTCAAGTGATTTTATTACAATGTAGATGAAAGCATTAGAGAAATGAAGAAGGGTTTCTCAAATTCCTGAAATTATTGGCCATTTATTGAGAGCTTTGAAATAATATTGGTACTTATAGGCTTGAAGTGCTCTTGAAAATGTCCGTTTGTAGTCCCCAGTTGTTATTATTGACCCTTTTCATCCACCCAGACTCTACCCTCATAGTGAAGAAATTTTACAGTTACACACATTTTCAGTTTGGAGCCGAGATATAACGGAATTATGCATATTTATAACGTATGATGACAGTAAATAAACCATTTCAACTATCTAATTACTTTATTAAATAAACTCAATAACATTTATTATTACCCTCTTATAATTTGCATAATATTGCAGAAATGACCAAATGAAAGAAGATATTCCTTTGTCTAAATTAACAAGATTTCATATCAAAGAGAAGGACGAAATTTTACGACATCTACACAACTCCTCATGTGGTCAGTCTATAACCAGGTTATATCCGTCTATAAGAATTAATTATCATCTTAAAGGGGGTCATTACGGCTTTTATTACACCCAGTACAATAACAGAAGGGTGATAAGTAGCATATGAAGGCAATATGATCAGATATGGAACTTTCACAGATCGGGATCAATCTTAATTTATGCCGACTCGACTATTACAACTCACTAATTACTATATTGCGTGAGAAATACACGTATCAAAGAAAATGTGTGTGTAAAAACTCCACCCTGATCATTTTATTTAATATCAAAGGTAGTTACCTGAGGGGCGGAGTTATAAATAACTACTACAACAATAATTATCTGTCTCAACCACTGAGAAAATTCGATGCGGAATTAAGCCACGCCCACGAGCATCCGGATTGGTTGTTAATGGAAAACAGGTAAAGGTCGTAAAACTCAGGTGTGCTTTAATAACAAGAGCGACATACGGTTTGTCACACAGCTCATTTGTAGCAATATCAGAATCACAGCGGATCTAAATAGTTAGTACAGGTGTATCTCAAGTGAAAAACAGTTACATTTTACTAGACGCTGAGCTTTTACTATAAAAAGCAAACGGAACTTTTAGTGACATTTGTTGTGTGTTTATATTTGTCTTTGGATTTTTCATCAGTTACAATAAGAGTATGATTTCGCCGACTGTCACCCCATCGTCGGATATCTCAGTTCAGCAGAAGCCGTTTCATCGGCCTGGTTTTCCGACGGAATACCCGACAATTCCGTCACCCATAGAACGAGGACAAAGCTGTCCAACATCGCCTTCGTCTCCATGTTCAACAGCTTCAGAACATGATTCGAGCTTAGAGAAGACAACGCCGACGGACTCCGATCATTCCGACGACGGCGAGAAGGATGCTATCGGAACACATTACTACAGGAATCCAAATGTTGACAATGGTATGTATAATTTATGTTCACATTTATAATTAACAATTCATTAACATAAACTCAAATCTAGTTTCCGGATGGACCTCGCATTCGAATTCAGCTTGCGAACCAAACATTTTTGATGAGTAACATGCAAATGTATTATAATATTCTGTAACAGAAATACATTCTTCATACATTTTACAAACAGATTGATATATTGTCTGTGAGTTAATGTGATCTTATTCCTGAAAGAAACCATCTTATTTATTGTAAACTTCAAACATTTATATAGAAATAAATAAATTAACTTCAATGACAACAATATCATACACGTTTTAGCATTTACTTATAATAAATAGATGTTATAAATATATGTATATAAGACAGAAAATTATAGAAAAAGTACTTTAATAATAATAATAAAACACACACAAACGAAGCGCGGGTAACGCATCAAAAAACGTTTGTGCGCAATTAATCGAACACTCGTGAAAAATCCTTTAATCTGACAATGTAAATAATAAATAATGCTTGTTAACATTATCATCCGAGGCAAATAACACGCTTTTTAACTTTTCTTATACTTTTACTTTTATGTGATTTAGATGTTTAATGACGAATTGATTTTTACTCTTTGATGTGGATAGAAAAAAAAGATTAAACAAGTCGGGGGATTTTAGGTTGAAACTCCTTGTTTTTACTTATTAAGACACCCACTTTAAGCGGTTTTAAGTCAAAAATGAAATTGTTTTCTAATATTTTACATTCTTTTATTGTACCACAGTGATGTTCATATATTAACGATGTGAAATCAGCTATTTTTACCGAATAAAAACAATATAATGCGAATGATGGTTGAAGAATGCAGAGCACTTACTCGATTTGTAATATGCATTTTGTTTGGAAAAAAACAGTGTCTTTCAAATAAAGAATTGAAATACCCTGGAAAAACATAGCAATTGTTATTTAATATTTCAAATGTTGCAGTACAACTGATTGATGTACTAGAAATTTCATTTACTATATATATGAAGTCCATTGTTTTCCTAGATGATGAACAAATTAAATTTTTGACAAAAAAACTTAGTATATATTAATATAATTAAAAACCAATAAAAGACAAGTATTTGCCCTATAATTTTTGGTAAACCGACAACCCACACAAATTATTAAATTTCATAAATCTAAATTAATCAGCTTGTGTTATTATGGGACAATAAAGCGATTTTCTCAAAAGGATAATTGTTTGAAATCTGAAATTTCCTCATTTTTTTCTGTGTCTTCGCAGACATTTATGAGGTTTTCTAATTACCGTTATGCCATATAATTCTTTGTCATATAATGTCTTCTACTTGTCGTCTGCTCTGTGGTAATAATTGTTTCTGTAAAAAATATATACTCTACTTAGCATCAAATTAGCATAAACGTGAAATTTGCATATTTTACTCATTCTTAATCATCAAATTAAGAAAAGTGAACTGTATTTTTTCCTCTCTTTAATATTATTACTTTAAAAATTAAAAACATAAAAATAAACACATAAGCGTCCAGCTATGGTTGTCAGTTCAGATGCTTTGAATATCTAAAATCTACATCAGAACATTTTATGCAAAAGCAAATGTTAAAATGGATAATATACGCAAAAAAAACATGTAATGGGACATTTAATAAAAAAATTATTTATTTAATTAATTTATTTATTTATTTATTTATTTATTTATTTATTTATTTATTTATTTATTTATTTATTTATTTATTTATTTATCATAATGACTATTATTGTACATTTTTAAATAATAATAAATTGCTTGATCACGAAGATCTAAAATATTTTACTTGAAAAAAAGAAGAGAAATGTTCATAAGGAATGATAAAAATACGGAGAAAAAAAATCCAAGCAAAAACATGTCAACTTCCTAGCGTTTTTCTTCATCTAAATACCTAAAGTATCGTTACTTCTTTACCATTAATGGCCATTGCAAAAATTTAATTACAAAAAAGAAGTCTAAGCGACATCAGCTGCTGAAACCTTTGACCTTTTCATCGTTAACAAACTCGTTATTGTCAAGATTATTTCATTATAATGGAGCTTTTGTTTCAGTTGACATAATTAATATCATCATTTACTAAAACATAATTGTTTCAATTCAGCCTTCACGTTTTACCCCTGAAGGGTAACTTTCTGCCCCTATAAAAGAAAGGGCCGCTCTTAGTGAAAGGGTCCAGGTGAGGACTATATGTGTATGAAGACAAATGGATTCTCGTCATATTTTGACGTCTGTTCATGAAAAATGACGTTGTATTGACAAACTTGTGCCCCGTAGGAATAACAAATTGTGATAATCGCACGTTTTACACAATTTTATGCTGTGATGCCGGTAAATTAATGAAGTTGTCATAAATTACGTGTCAACGCGCAAACATCAATGGATATGTTTTTTCTGTTACCGTCACATTCTAAAAATAACCAAAGTTCTATACCGCAGAGACATTAATAGTTTTGTAATTGAAATTACACGAAATCGCAACTCATATAATTAAAAGAAAACCTAAAAATGCTTTTAAAAAAAGGGAAATGGTCGTCATAGGGATTCAGGCTCTATAAAGCGAATTCAACTGTATATACAAAACAGATTAAGTGCAAAGAATAAAATACAAAACAGTAAAGAACAGAAACAAAGAAACCGTGTTTTTCAATTTATTTTTAAGACTACGGAATGTTTTATTTTTCATGAACTGTTTACAACATATTTTTATTATTACAAAGACAAAAATAGACGAAAGAAACAAGTAAGATGTAACCTAGATTTTTGGACATTTTTTTCTAGGTTGAAACAATAATGTCTCAAAGTTTTTTTTCCAGTGTGTTTAACAATTAAATTTGTTACGGTACGCTACCACGTTAAACAGAAGGCCATAGGTTACAATGGCGGTAATTTGAATGATTTAGAATGTGCAGAAATATTCATTTAAAGTAATTATGCTTTAGTTAATACGCTCCTATCATGCAGTGTATATATCAATCAAATACATAATGAACTAATCTGTATAACCGAGGGGCGTGCAAAAAGTCCGGTCCGAGTCTTCATAGACAAAAAAAATACAAGCGTATGAATACATTTCAACGAACGCGTAGGAAAAATTACAGAGATATATTATGGACTTTAATAATATTCGACCTTCTGATATGTCATGAGTTCTTAAATAAATTTAAAATATCTTATCTCATAATATTCAGCGTATACTTGAAATGAATTATCAGTAGAAAAACCGGAAGTGCGCAACTTTCGTAACGACCCCTGTAAAAAATAGTGCGGCGATCATTTCGGCTCATTACGCACTGACGAGATTGTCAGATCTGGCCGCGGTCTTGTTTAGAATAAATGGCTAACCTCTGATCTTTTACATTACCAAACACTCCGATATTCTATCGCAATGTTCTGCCTAAAACCCATTATTTTATTTCCAATGCAAAAAGTACAGAAATTGAATTGATATTTAAACACGTTACCAAAACAGATGACATCAATTACGAATCTAATTGGGTATATAAAAAAAACGTAAGGTCAGACTATTTAGAATATAAATAAACTGCAGAATTGCGAAGTAATGATAATTAAGATATTAAATTCATCGACAACGAGGTCTAAGTTATGACTGTAGACATACAATGTTTTGCAACAAAATACGCTGTTTAAAAGAATGTGATTATGAAAGATGATGTGTAAGCTGTAACAGAATACAATGTACTGTACAGCGTACACTTGTCAAATTATTCGGCTAGATTTACTTTAACATGCAGATAACATATGGACTTTTAAATTCTGACATTTTCAATTACGTAAAATGTATGAAGACATGCACGTTTTGATGCAAAAATTAACAACCGAATCTGATAATGAGCATTCCAAAGTATGCTAACTGCTTCCGTTGATAAATGTTTGATGAAAATTTACTTTAACGTAATTACTAAAATTCTATTAACTTTATTTCGTTCTTTATTTATCTTTTAAAATCAAATTGTTAAAATCTGATACATGTACATTTGTATATCAAAAATTGGAAGTAAGAAAGAGATATTTACGCTGATAAGCACTACAATTTATTTTCTATGTATGTAATGAATATGAAAAAATTGATCCCCAAAATTAAATTGTTTTTTTTTTATTGATTACAGATTTGTCCGGATTGGATAACGGTGTTAGACGATACAGAACGGCATTTACCAAAGAACAGATCAACACTTTGGAGAGAGAATTTAACAAGGAAAATTACGTTTCCAGACCAAAACGATGTGAACTCGCAAAACAGTTGAACCTTCCAGAGAGCACAATAAAGGTAAACTTTTAGCTACACAAGAAAAAATAGAATCGAAATAAATAATAATATTAATAAGAATAATAAACTGATTATAATAATGGTAATATAAAAATATGATAAACATAAATATCTATTTCGGAATTATTTGTTTTGGTAACGTTTTTATTATCTGTATTGTTTCATATGTTACCGAATTTATTTTTTAATTATAATACTATACTTATACGAAGGTGTAAGAAAATCCCTAGCAGTCTGATTTATTTTATTTATTTTCAATTACAGGTCTGGTTTCAAAATCGCCGCATGAAGGATAAGCGCCAAAGAATGGCAGTCACTTGGCCATACGGAATTCCTCCAGATCCACAAATCTACGCTTACCTCGCCGCAGCCGCCGCTTCGTATCCATACGCTTTACCTAACCCAGCCGCCCCTTCGTATCCGTCACTTCCGCTTCCGGGGCTTTACCAGACACAAACTTCATCAGCCTTTTCACCGTTGGCACCACAAAATCCACTCAAACCCATGTTTGATACTTTACCTCCATTCCACGGGGCACTGAGTGCATCGTCTGCTCTAGATAGACTGTCGTCTGCAACTTCAGAAACTACCTCAATTGAAACTTCTTTAGCTCAGAGATACAAAACCGACAACCCAACCCTTGGTGCAATGCCATCTTCCATCCCAGGATTTAAATCTGGGTGCCCATGTGGGCTCCCAACATGTTCATTATCGAGCGGACTTCATCCAAGCTTCCCGACCTCAATTCACAGCAGCTTTCATCCGGGTCTTCATCCATCACTTACAACATCTCTCTCGACAGGAATTATGTCCGCTCCATTAAATCCTCTTTTTCAAAAGACAGAAATGAGCAAGCATTAAGACACTTTTGATGAAATGAGTGCATTGTTATTTAAAAAATATTATAAATTCACCGAATATAAACAAATGTTTTAAACCATAATATCGATACATTGTTATATTTTGACAAAGTCGGAGAGTAAACATTCCATTTACACAAAGAAGTTTGAACATTGTGTATATATATTTTATTACTCGCTTTTTTTCTAGTTTTTGTATGTTAGTTATTTTTTATACTATAATTGCAGGGAGACACAAATTTGTACAGTTTTCTGATTATATAATATATTTGTTATTGCCAGAAATAGATTTTTTATGAATAAAAATTTATTTAAATCATAAAAATTGGTTTCGTTTTTTTACTCATTATGATAGTATAATATACATGTGTACAAGGAATGTGTGTAATATTTGAAATATAATTTGACTGATGGTTGTTGGTCGATTTTAAACTCTACCTGCCCAACCCCAGAGTTCATTTTCTACAAAATAGAATTTTTTTAAGCGCCCAAAGTCATCTTAAGTCTGAACATATGTACCTCTAAACCAGATTCTATAGAGTCTACTATTCCATTTTTGTATATATTAAGATCCACTTGCCATTCACTGCTGTGGGTTCGAATCCCGACAGGGACTTTGGATTCTTTCACGTGAGGAAGCTATCCAGCTAGCTTATGGGACGTCGGTGGTTCTACACAGGTGCTCGCTCGTACCTTAAATAATGCACGGAGGCTCACCTGAGATCCTCCTCCATCAGTACTGCTGGCCATATAACCTCTACCATAAACCCAACCGAAAGAATGTATTTACATACTGAGATCCTTAAACTATAAATGGACTGTTAATGCTAAACATGACTGTTCATTACACATTTTATTTGCCATATAAGTTACAGCTGTTCCTCTAAGAATAAAAACAAAAAACATTAGGACGAAATGAAAGTTACATAGATAATATTATTTTCGAGATTTCATTAAATTTTTAGTTATAATTATTGTAAATTTAAATTGGCCATTTTTAACGTAGACAATCTAAAAATTGGATGAATTTTGATCAGTTACAATTTGTAAGAAAGAACTTACATCAATTTGGTTTCTGTAACCAAATAACTGATTTCTTGCAGGTTTTTTTTTAATTCTCTGATTAATTTGAGTCTAGAAAGCACGTGCAGCGTCCGTGCTTGGTCAGGGTACCTGACTTCGAACCTTTCACTCCTTTGGGTTTCAATCTTTGCCTTGGCGCACACTTACATTTTTTAATTGCGCACACATAAATTTTTTTTTAAATTGCGCACATATACATTTTTTTTTTAAATTAGGCTTTAAGAACTTTTTATTATGAGTTGCAAGGTCATAATTAGGCGTCATTTCTCCTAATTATAGGAGTAATTAATCGTAAATGAGTTACAAAATTCAAAATAGGTTTGATTTTCTCCTAATTTAAATGTATAATCTGGTGATTAAGATAGTTTAATGTAACATAACGCAAAAAAGTATAATAGACAAAATTCATCAAATATTGACACATTAGATTTGGAAACTTGACAAAATTTTACAAATTTATTAAAATATTATATTCAATGAATTGATATATATTTGCAGTTTTTTATTTGCTTGGACAGATACAATGCTGTGCAAAATATCGTCCATCAAATGATAACTATCTCTTTTTAAATGAGTTTTTAAAAAGGTTATTTCGAAATTTGAGAAGTGACTCGAATTACGCCAAGATTGAGTTTCATTTCATGTCAAATATACATTTTACACGTAACGCCATAGCGTCAAATCGGTGCATAATGACATATTTCATCCGGGCACACGACGGAGGAAATGTGGCCCCAGGTACAGTGCAATTGTTTTATTCAAAATGAATGTATGAATAAAAAGGTAAACAAATAAATGAATAAAGTAACAAAGGAAAGAACGAGCGAATGAATGAGGAACGAACGAACGAGTGAATCAGTAAATCAATCAACAATCAATCATCAATCAATCAATCAAATAATAATCATTTAAAGAAACATTCAGATGAATAAGAAATGTTTATTATAGTTTATTAAATAAATCAATAAACACAGCTTTGATAATACATCAATAAATGAATAGAAATGAACAAAAGATGTAAAGTATAGCTACCCCAGCCCCACCCCCCCCCACCCCCCCCCCCCCCCCCACCCAACCAGCACCGACACCACCATTTGTTAGCAAAATTGCTGGTTCATCATTTTCTAAATATCAATTAAGAAAAATATGTATATCAGAAAACCTTGAAAATATTTATTATATATATAAATACATGGTTGCACACGGTTTTCTTGTTTGTTGTTTATTTTTCTTCGCATTATATTAGTTGATGACAAAACTACGTATTCTTTTTGTGTATTAGTGTGACCGCTTCTAACTTGTTAAAAGTTAAACTGAAATTTCCGCCGTATTGTACTTCTGTATATGTGAATTAAAGACAATAATGTGTACTTAACAAAGATAGTCTTTTAAGTCTCCTTTATTTCTGAAGTAAAATAATTGTAAAAAATATCTCGTTATTATTTCTGTCCGACAGTATAAAAAGAGCATATAACCCTGCAGTATATCTTAAATGGACTTGCCCATCTTTCAATGTAGACAAAATCATGTATCATTTTTAGAGATAATTTCAAAACATAATTGTACTTACTAAAAAGCGACCAGTGCAGACCATGGTCGGCTGATCTTGGTCTGTACTGATTGCACGTGGTGGAATATGTTTATAATTAATATTCCCTGTTACTTCATTTCTAGAAATAATATCTTTAAGTTTTTAAATTTTTTGTTTTTGTTTTTGTTTTAGAAAAATGTTGACATTTTTATTTGCTACTGCATATTATGATAGTATTGACATTCAATCTTATCTCTAACCATTATGCAACGTCAATTCTTTTTGCGCATGCCTAAAATGTTAGACATTAGGAAAAATGAGTTTTCATTTAAGAGTGAATTTTGGTCTGAAAAAACAAAGCGTGACAGGAAAGATTATAGAGTCAATCTCCCCTTGATAAAAAAGAGAGGAAAAAACAACAAGTTTTAAAACCATTGAGGGCAAAATTTGCCACAATTTGGAATTTCTTTGAGTGGGAAATTCTTCGATTGGTTATGGTCTATGGAAGGTTCTTTGGTTATTTTTATTTTTACAGACAGTACAAGACTGCCATTTAAAATTTACAAACTCCAACGCTATACGTATATAATAAAACGCAAAGGAAAGGTTTGTTTTGGCATTTGGCTAGTTTGGCCATGGGTTTATACTATTTTTTTTAAATAATTTTCTATAAATATTATTTCTTGCAGATCAACATCAGTGAATTTGGACACAGTGTTTCTGTTAAGAACCTATTTTTCAAAGACAACTACAAATCAAATGTTTTGTAAATGGTGGATTTAAGGGGAAACTTATCCCTAATAAAATTATCAAATTTCTTTTTTCAGATACCATTTTATTTTTTTAAAAAACGGTTTAGCCCTACGTTTTATTATTTTGTTTTGTTCCAGTATTAGCTCATTGGTTGTATTATTATATTATTAGACCGGTGTCACGTATGATTTACATCATAATGACAATTACTACACCGCCATTCCATTATTAAGGCCACTTATGTCATATCTTACCGACATCTAAATGGTGAAATGAACGGTTTAAAGTCATATAGCCCCGTTAGAGCCTATTTGATGATTGAATTATTGCTTTTTAATTTTTCATATCATTTCACTACTTTGTTTTTCACCATCACGTGACCGATCGTAATAACAAGCGCTTCCGACGCGTTTAAATCAGTGTCTCGGCCATGTTTGAATGATCATTGTTCTTGTCATCGGAACGCTTGTAAATCTTCAAGTTAAAACAAAATGTAGCGTTCAATACTGGAAATTAACATATATATAATCAAAGTGTAATTTACTAATTTTAGTAAATAATTCGTACCGTAGAAAAACGTACAGTGTTACTATTACCAAATATCAAAGAAATCAGCTATATCATGGTATGTTTGATCTGGGACCCAGGTTTGATGTTAAGTCACGCTTGATTGAATATTCTTCTACAAAAACAAAATCCTTTCCTTAATCAAGCGTTTAAGAGAGGAAGATTTAAATGTGGGAAATTTTTTACAGAATTTATTTTTTACAACCACTATAATAATTTGTATATCAGCTTGTTTGATAATTCAAAAAGAAACTGCTAAATTTATTGCGCATGCGATCAAAAACTGTTTCAACTTTTATCGCTGAGTTTGAAAATAAGTACGAAGCCCGGATAATCCGATTTTTTTTATAATATCCATGTTTTAAATCTTTGATTTTCATAGGGGTACTAAACTTATTTGAAAATTACTTGCTAGCCAATTATGTATACACGTATATATGTACATGAACCAATGGTTCAAAAGGGTTCAAACGTAAGTGAATCTCCAAGATGTTGCATCTTAATTAATACAAGTTGACACCGATTAATTATGTATTCAAATGCACACAATGCATGTTACGTTACTGCAAGGATTTGATATATCATAAATGTACATAAAAAAACAAGTTTAGCTCAATGTTTACTACGAGATCCATTTATTTCAATATGCGGATCCGCTCAGACGAATCCATGTTTCATTCATATGAAATTGTCATGTTTTATTTAATTCATTAAACAATTTTAACCATTGAGAAAAAATGCTATTTCATTTGGTGGTAAATTTTGCGACAAATTTGCAGTAAATAAATTTGGTTTATCATAAATGAAATCATTTAGTGAACATCTACTTCATTGCTCTTAAATGATATATTTTCCGCACCATTTATCATCTCTAGAAAACTTGAAATGAAATTAAAACATTAATGGTATTTTATACATGACATTAACTGATCAAACGCTAAATTTGGCAATATTTCATTGGGGGGTTAATAATAAAACACGGAAAGTTTAAGGTGTTTTATTCACTATAAAATCCTGTCATAATGCACATTTCTTTTAACTACGTCTCTTTGATGTGGTGTATACAAACTATAAAGAT